CATTTCTGGATTGATGCGCGCATGTTCTCTCTCAATCACGGCATGAATTAAATCACCTTGCAAAACAACATTAAAAACAGTTTAAACTTGTGCTTCCTACCACCACAAACCGCAAAAAGAATAAGACTAGACGTGTAAATATTATAAACTTGATTACAATGGAAAATACAAAAGAAACGAAAATTATAAAACAAACTCAAATAAGTTAAGGCGTGAAGTCACTGTCTTGAAAAGTAGATTGTGTCCTTAGAGAATGTTTCTCGGCAACCTGGCAGCCTATCCTCCAAGACGCAACACATTGAACATCCATTTTATCCCTTCATAGCAATTGAAGACACAATCTACTTTGACCGATTTTAGAGGGATTAATTTTGAAATTAGCATAAGCTAGATATGTTGACCGTTGAAAAAAAAAATGAAGATATAATTGGGTAGCTTCACCTTTATTCCATTGGTAGTTAATGATAATAATCAGTAATTAGGGTTTGTTGGGGAGTTGGCCCAACAATGGTTGCAAGTCTAATAAGAGTTCAAAGACAGAGATGAGCAATAGAAACTTATCAACATGACCAGCAGCGTGTGGGCCGATTAAATGTTGACATGTGGCAGTTCGTGTCATAAATGAGAATTATAAATATTCTTCTCCTATCTCCACTATAAGTAAGAACTTTATTATGCTTCTCTCTTTACAATATTTAGTTTTTGAGAGCTTCTTTCTTTTAAAATCAGTGATTATAGTTAACTTGAATATCAAAGTATTTTTTTCAAAAATATTTTCTCAAGTTTTTCAGGTATTGGAACTACTCAAGCGGGCCCTAAAGTCCTGAGCTCGTTAAGTAACCAAAACAGGGTCAAGACCAGCACATTGTGCATGGACTCGCATAAGAAGATATGGAGAGATTAGATGGGTTGTACTTGTTTATATACAAATGGGCTCAAGAATGGAAAAAATTCGAAATGGAGACAGAAGACTTCAGCAATTGGGCTCGAGAAAAGAAATAATTAACCCATTTAGTTTGGTCCTGTTAAGACTTCCGGGATCGAGGCCTGCAAAATCAGCAGTTCCATAGAAATGGTTTCCAACTTCCAAATGACGTTGTAGCATCTTAGGAGACAACTGCCGTCCAATCTAACTCCTAACATTAACTTTAGTCCTATTTGCAATTTTTTTTTTTTTTTTTTTTTTTACATTGGAGAGTTAGTGACACAGAGGTTTTAAATCTCTAACCTTAATCTCAAGCCAAGGCTTTTAAATTAGTAAATAACAACGTAGCCAAACCCTTATTGATAACTCTGGTTCTATTTGGTTTGAGGCTAATTTCCTGGAAAGTTTTTAAAGAGATGTTGTTGGGAGAGGTTAGAAAGTACAATACAGAAAACTGATAATTTTTGTTAAAGAAGACACCAAATATTATGAGACGAAAGGAGTATTTCATAAGAAATTCTAAATCACAAGTGGATACATTACATATCTTGCCTCATTATTATTATTTTTTGTATATAGAGACTAAGGTTTAAATCTTAAACCTGCTTGAGTAACTATATTACCAAATCACATGACTGATAATCTTGCCTTAGTATTATATGATTAAACTTATTGTAGACATTATTCATGAGGTACTTAGTAATTGCTTCACAAAGTGTTGAAAGATGGGTCATATAATAGACCAAAGTCGTAGACAATATTCATGTATGTTGTACATAAAATAGATTTTTTTTAAAAATAGAATAATTAATCAAAATAAATAAATAATAATAGGTTAAAGTAAAAAAAATATTTATTTACCTTAAATAATAAAAAAACAACAATTAATTTGGGATAAATTCAAAATAAAAAAATAACAATTATTTAATAAAGAAAACAATGCAATTTAATGGCGATGTTGTCCTAAGCAAGCGAACTGATAACTTTTGTTAAAGAAGAAACTAGATATTATGAGACCCAAGGAGTATTTCGTAAGAAATTCTAAACCGCAAGTGGACACATTGCATATCTTGCTTCATTATTATATGATTAAACTCGTTGTGGACATTATTCATGTTGTACTTGTTAATTGCTCGGAAGGTCACAAATGGACTCAATCTCTACCTCAAAGTGTTAAAAGATGGGTCATAAAATAGACCAAAGTTGAAGGCGAACTCTATTACTATTTAATGGTGATATTGTCCTAAGCAAGCAAGTTGTCACAAACGAGGTGTGTGGATGTCCTCTTGACTATGGTCCATATCAACTATCTAAAACACACAAAAAGAAGAAAAAAAGGGAAAAACCTACCTAAAATAT